TGATTGGGAACGGAGAGCGTCCAAGGAATGTGTGTTATCAGAAGGCTAAGCGTTTTGGGGGCTTTTTAATAATTTTATACCCTTCCAGGGTATCAGAAGCTTGTGAAGAATCATTTCAAAACCTATAAATCATATATATTCTTGATCAGCATCAACAGCCAATTAATTTGGCCATATCCGGGAGAAAAAAAATGTTTCAAAAATAGACAAGAGGTTAAATTTCAAAAATGTTCAACATTTTTTTTAACCTTTTAAAAACTAGCATAGAAAAGTATTTCGATTTAAAATTAATGATATTTTGGCTGAGTTATGAGTTTTTTAAACTTTGATTAGTGAATAAATGTTCATATAATATTTTTATCTTCCTGGAGTTAGTTTTCGTTTTTGTTTTTACAGTTGAAATTGCTTATATTGGAAATGGTTTTAAAAACTTAAAGGAAGTGTATTAAAATTCTAAGGAACCTATTTCATTTCATTTAAAAAATCTTCAGCTTAATTGGGTGTGGTTTCTAGGTTCGTAACACTGTTCCTTTTAATATTTTTTAATAGAATCTCCACTCCATATTTCAAGTTATGTAAAGTATCCACAAACTGAGACATTTCCTTCAACCAGATGTTTCCATTTCGTTTGGGGTTCGACTGTAATTCCCTACTTACTTGGTCCAGAATCTCCAGGAATGCGTTTATCAGCCAAAGCAAAAAGAAAGAAAAATAAACTGATAAGCGAAAAACCCGAGCACTCGCTCTGGGCAACCGGGGTGAGCAACAACGCGTCTAATGCCAGCGGATCAAGATTGGCGAATGCCCTGCCAGAGACTTGGTTTCGGTCTCAGTCTCGGGACTTGGACTCGGAATCGGAATCTGAATCGGACTCCAACTCGCTTTCTGTTCGGCCAAAAATCGTTTCTATATGCGTAGCACATGGCCATAAAAAGTGTATGTACATAGAGTAAAGTTCTGTATAAGCTTTTTCATGTACACTGTTGTGGGTCTTCGGGTGGGGCGGAAAAGGGAGGAGCGTGTGTAGGTCACCGAGCCACAACGCCGACGCCGCTGCTCTGGAGCCACCAAGATGTCTGCGGCACAGAGAATCTCTCAGACCTCGAAAAGGCATCTTGAATGGTAGAAGATCTGAGGAAAAACTTACGGGGTGTCGACTGGGCATGGAAATTGCGCACAAAAGGCGGAAAAACTTGGCCAGCGCTGCTGCGCAGTTGATAAGAAAAGCGGAAAATTGGGGGCAATGGAGGAGACGCTAGGCTTAGTCACTTCCAGACGATAGAAGTGTTTCCGCCTTGGAATATGATTGCGAAGCCCTGCTTATCAGTCCTGGACAGCTAAGTACCATTGTAGCTTTTGTTTTCTCTGATATTTCTCTATCAAAACGAATGCCGACCAAGCCACACCACCCCTGGGCTTGTTTTTTCCCGCTTGGAAACCTCAAACCCGCCCTGGAAAGTCGGTCCCGACACTACTGCGCATGTTTCCACATTCTTTTGCAGTTTCCTTTGTAAAGCATTCGCCCTGCAACATACATTCATATGGGGAACATATAGAATTTTATAGGGGCAGAGAAAATGTCTCATTGTTTTCCTGTTTCTCGCTTACCTGAAGGCATTTTTCATTAGAATGATAACTTGGCAAGAAATTGCGTCTTATCAAGAGGGGCCTCTGGCTTCCTTTTCCCTTGTGTTTTTCCCATTCCTTACCCTAAGTGCAATTGCAGTTAGAGTGACAAGGGAGGGGGGATATCTTGAAATACAACCAGTTTGCTGGCATTTGCATTTATACTCGAATGTTTCCCTGAAGAAATGGATCCGATAGATTGCCTCTGTCCAGGAATTTGAGTTCATAATGAATGTAATGAGTCCGCTTTTGTTGATGTTTAAGGATCCTAGGAAAAGGACTGATATTGTTTTAGTTTTCCAAGACTATTTATATTTCTGAATAAAAGTATGAATAATATCAATTTGATGCTTAATAATGATCAAAAGTTACAATGGTATTATCATGATTATAATTCAAAAATGTAAAATATATCTGAGATATCCTTCAACTAGTTGAACCATAATAAAACACATTAAAACAAGTTCCAGAGATATAGAGGCAGTTGGTATAAGGAGTTTTCCTAAATCAATTCAAATTTTTATAAACTTGCAAGGGTATTTTAATATTAGTCAGAAGCTTGTAACACTATGAAGGAATCATTTCCGACCCTAAAAATCGTATATATTCTTGATCAGCATCAAAAGTAGAACCAGCTAGACATTTCCGGAAGAAAAATAAAATTTTCACAAATTTCAATTTTTAAAAAAAAAAAAGGGTAGGAGTTACATCGTTAAAATATTCAAAAATTGACAACATTTTCATTTTTCTAAAATCTTCAATTGAGTATGCAGATTTATTAACCTAATAAAAACTAACATATGAAGCTTTCGATTTAAAATTAATGCTTTTTTGGCTTAGTTATGAGTTTTTGAAACTTTGATTTGCAGATAAAATTGTCATACAAATATATGTATATGTATGTGATAAATATCGATTTAATTCTTTAAATCAAATGCAAATGTTTTAAGCTTTCTTATGATAGATTTCCAACTCAATTCTACAATTCAATTGCAAACTTCAAGAAATATTAATATCTTTGGCTTTCAGAAGTTAGTTTCCTGTCTGGTTTAAAGTCAAGAAAATTAATCTTTAAAATTTCTGACTCAAACTATATCTATTAAATTGCAATCAATATAGAAATACATACACACATCTATAGATGTAGATGCTGCATTTTCCGTTCAATTCTGACCGTATTAAATTTCCTGGCCACAATCTTGGCCAAAAGGCAAACAATCTGAGCCTAATTGGTAACCAAAGAGCTCGCTGATTCTCAAATAAAATATAATTAGAAGGTCTTCAACGTTTGATTGGGATTAAGGATTTCGGTTTTGAGTTTTCCGTATCAGTGAATGCTCATTTGTGATGGTAATTCAAAGGGCAGGAGGTAGAAGAAAATGCTTACGGGTCAGGTAGAGGTTGCGAAAACTGTAAACCGAAACGATTGCTGGGGAGATGGGAAATGGATTTTGATGGGTTTGGGGTGGGGGTGCCCATGAGAAGGTCGTTTCCCCGAGCTGCTGGCATTTCCCCCTGGAGTGAGTACGGGAATCCGTGACACGGAATTTCCATTTAGCTCCCGATCTGAACGAGACTCCGTGTGTGTGTGTGTTAATGAAGGCATTTGAGCATTTGAGCTAGCAAGTTGCAGTTTCCCTTGCACTGAGAAAATTATAATAGAAATTACAATGTAAAGAAAGAAATGATACTAAGTTCGGCAACCCGAAGTTTATATACCCTTGAAGTTTGCAATTGAATTATAGGACTGATTCGGGAATCGATAATAACTAAGCTTAAAATCGATATTTATCCACATTTTAAATGACAATTTATTCAACATACCAAATTTTAAAAAGTCATAACTAAGGCAAGCTTTAGAAACTATTAAGTTTTGTTTTCTGTGCACCTTTAAAAAGGGAAACCCAACCGACTCAAGGAAACTCAAACTCCCAGAGCTCCGAAAAAGTCGTTGCCCAAAAAGTGAGCGAGAAGAGGCCAGAGAAAGAGAGCTAGAGCGAGGGAGACTGAGAAGAAAGGGCAGCCGACAATGCAGCTAAGTAAACAAAAAGAGGCGAAGAAGGGAGAGAGCGAAGAAAGGAAAACATTTACAAAAGAAAGTTCGTTGAACTGATGTGTGTGTGTGTGTCAGTTTTGTGCTGTGGCTACTTTGCTCCCCCCTCCCCCTTAGACCCATGGATTCCCCTACTGACTCCCATGACTTCCCTTGGAATATATGGGGATATATGGATGTTGATGACGTCTTCAGGTTGAATTTCAAACCAAACAATAACACAGAAATGTCAACGCCAACGTCAGTGACCGCTACGTTTCCTAGCTTGCCCGGCTCAGGGAAAAGCCTCCTACCGAGGATCGATTTACAATAGCAGGAATCTTCATTTCCATTCCAGAAAATGAATTTCCTATGTGTAGTAATCTGAATTCTTTGTTAAAAAAACGTAGAAAATGGTTTCAGTTTTAGTATTCAAATATCCACAAAACAACAAATAAGCTTCTAGAATAAAGATTGATTAATTATTGATTACATTAACCTGATCTTGAACGCCAGCACACAATCGATATTATTATAGAATATTGTATATTATTATTTATTTGCTTTTATCATACTTATTTAACAATTAAGATTTATATGAAGACATATCTTATAAGTATATAAGGATCTTCCAAGCACATGATTTTTATAAAAATTATCGGGTTTAAATAGTGCCAGGACTCCAATTCTATAAAAAAGAAAAATTCTAATTATAACAAATAAAAAAGATAATTATTAATAATTTATACAATATTAATAATAAGGTTTATTAATATTATTCAGTTTTATAAAACAAGCCAAAAGAAAACATTCGTTTTTTTAGGCTTCCACTTGCGGAATTGCTCAAATAATACAAAAAGAAATCCCATAAAAACTATATTTATCTTTAATACATAAGCGTTGTGTTCACTATACCGAGAGCACACTGTAGTTATCACTGCCAAAATAGTCTTTGTTCATTTGAGCCGCTCATTTTTGCGAAACAAACTGTATAGAAAACGGGCAAGAAGAAGGGGAACAAGCGATCGGTTATTGCTCGCAAGTGTTTAGAGCGATTAGTGCGAATATTTATCAATAAAGAAAAGCAAATTCGATACATACAAATGTACATTCATACGTACATACCTGCATGCATGGCATGCAGCGACACGAAAACATCACGTATACATGAGCTTCATTTACATACAGATGTACATACAAACATAGCCACAAATGTACATACCGCTGTTCGTTAAGTTTTGCGACGACGACAACGACAACTACAACAACGACAACGACTACGAATGAACGAAACAAAAACGATGAAGAACAGAACGCGATGAAACCGTACGTAAGCGCGCGCCAATGTGTGAGTGAGAACAGTGTCCGTGTGTAGAGTTCTACAGCCAGGTGGTGGCTGCCGGGGGTACGGGAGAGCGAAAGAGCGGAAGAGAGGCTAACGAAGAGCGACAGAGACACAGACACACTCACGCGCGCGCCTGTTGCAAAATTCATTCCGTTGCTCTCATTCGTGAAGAAAGGATGTACAGCCGGTTGTAGCCGAATGAATCCGTGTACATCATCGCCACAGCACATGCCTCGCGGCCACGGAGGAGCCGGTGGCTCTGCCCCAAACGCTGGCCTGGAGTCCCATGCCATGCAGCTGCTCGAGATGGGAGCCAAGGAGGAATACGAAGAGCTACGAGACCTGCTCCACTCCTGGGACGTCGCCGATCTGCTGCCCCATCTACAAGGTAAACACAAAACATATATACATACATACATATATATACAGAAAAAACACAAGCACAAAGAAGAGGTAAAGATAAATAGCCGGCAAAGTGAGAAAGAGAGAGAGCGGCAGACCTTAACCCTGCATTCGTCACTGCCAACTTGACTAATAACTTAAAACCCAAAAGTTTCGTTGAGTTTATGAATTTTTTATACCCTTAGAAAAAAAAATGTACTTTAAGCAGCACACAAACATGATGCTACCGATCGAATTATGTGGAAATAGTATTGATAAAAGTCTCGATTAGAATACAGTAGTGCCTCTCTAAAGAGTAAAAGTGTAATGGAAATTTATTATTACTATTTATTATATAGATAAAATACCTAATATTAGAACGGTTTAGAAACGAATACTTGAATTTCAAAATCTTCAAATTAATATATAATTTTTACATTAAACTCTTAAAGATAAAGAAAACATTAATTTAAAATACTAATAATAATAATAAATTAATTAATTGAATATTTGCAATATCGTCTTCTATAAGTATTTAATTATATGTTTATTTTATTTCGAAATTTGTTAATTTGTTTTGATAATTTTTAAACAAATCAATGTTTACCATAACTTGGTCAAAAAAGCATTAATTTAAATTTGGAAACTGTTCCATACTAATTTTTATTTGGTTAATAAATTTGCATACTAATTTAATATTAATAAATTAAGATTTTTGTCAATTTTTGAAAATTTGAACGATGTAACCCCTTATATATTTGAAACAAATTTCAAAAATTTATTTTAAGACCGGACATGACCAGATCGACTCGTCTGTTGACGTTGATCAAGAATATATATGATTTATAGGGTCTAAATGTCTTCTTCTTTGTGTAACAAGCATTTGACTAAAGGTATAATACCCTAAAACGGCATTATACTGGTCGTGCAGATCACAATCTAAATCTTCTAGAATCTTCTGACAAGTAAGGCTTACCTTCTAATTCTTGGTTCTTCTTCTCTTCTAGATGAGGCCATCAATGTGGATGAGCTGCAGATGATAAAGCGTCACCACTTGTCCGAGTTGCTACGAAACTTTCGCTTCGGCACCCGCATACGCTTTGAGCACCACCTGGAACGGTGGCGTCGCTGGCTAAATGTGCCACTGCAGGGAGGCCAGGATCAGGGCTCCGGACATTGCAATGGATGTCGATGTTCAGAGATGCAAGCGCAGGCCCAGTCCAGTCTGAGACGCTATGCCAGCAACCGATGGTGGAAATGAATGATTCAGAGACACAGAACGACGTTGGATCGAAGAACGTGGACAAGGACATTCCACCGCTGGTGGCTCTCAGCGATCAACGCACAATGACAGTGCCCTTTCAGACAATTGATCCCAAGGAGACGGATGGACTGATGATGGTCAAGCAGGAGCAGCCCTCAATGGGAGGCGGAATTGGAGTTGGAGGAGTGCCTCTGAAAGCCGAAGAAGAAGACCCTAGCATTGCCATAGCCTCAATATTTGCTGGCGGAGAAGACCAAATGTCATCGTCTGGGGATCAGGAAGTCAGCGTTCTGGGCATCCTGCAGGCATACGGCATGAAAGCCCAATCCCTGCTGGAACGCATTGGTCAAAACACTCCGCTGGATGCAGTGCAGCGCCTGCTGCTGATCCAGCTGGTGTGCAGCTTCTACGAAGATAACCATCTGCACCTGACCCTGCAGCGTAGTCATCTGCTGGAGCGTGAGATTCTCCAGCTATTCCCGTGCGAGGAGCTGCACTACTATCGCACCGAGCGACGTGGCAAAATCTATGTGAGATTCACCAATATGAAGAGGAGCAAGCGTGCAACTTCCTCACGCCCGGACAGCAAGCGACGACGCGCAGACAACATACGGCAAGCAGGTGGACAGATGGGGCCACAGGCCAAGACGAATGTGAATAGTTCTGCCACTGGGGAGCAGACCTCCAGTCCGGATCGCTCCGAATGACAATGGACATAGTTTTTGTAAGGAGAAGACGAAGCTAGATCCAAACGTAATGCTAATCGTAGGTTAAGTGAAAACCAACTGTTTTATTTGTTGTGTGACTGGATGTACAATAGTAGGGTATTATGCGGGTCGATGAACGATCCACCGACTGATGATACTAAATCGCAAATGATTTTTGGTTACACTTTGACGACTCGGCAGTTTTCTTTGAAGAGAGAGGGACCGAATAACTACTAAAACTGATTACATCAGCAACGAAAATAGTCAGGCGGCAGAGTGTTAACAATTGGCTAACACGACACCAGCTACTTTTCGCTGACTAAACTGCAAGAATAGTATCTGTAAGATACGCAGTGTAATAAGTAAATGTAGGAGAGGGAAAAACTAATTAATTAAGTTGCCTTGGTGGCTCTGGATTGTGGCTCTTTAGGTTCTCCAGCTACAGATTCCAGTGCCAGTTTCCCTGGCACATGTTCCCTGCTAATTGCCTTTATCAGCGACGCGACAGAGAGCAAACAAAACTATCTTTATCTGCAGGCCCCGACGGATAGCAAAATAGCACCATATAATTGCCATTGGGTTTTATATATATTTGTATTCTCCAACCCACCCAGGCCCAGGGGTTCTGTATTTTTCCCATTTTCCCCTATTTACACCCCTTTTGATTTTCCCTTGTTTTAACGCCCATTTTCGTTGCAATTCTTTCAGAGATTTGTGCCAGCGAGCGCATTCCAATAGATCTCTCATCGTCATGTAAAAGGGGTATCTTCTCTGCCTTTTTTTTTGTTTCATTTTCAAGCGTTTTCAAGCAAAGCAATTGTTCTGTGCATGTATCTGATGGATACGAGTGCGCTGCCAAGTAGTAAATAGGTCGCTGGCAACAAGCTGGTGTATATTGTGTATATGTATGTATGTATCTGTGTGTATTTCTCAGCTGCAAAGCGACAAACTATTTTTTATTTGTTGCTTTCAGCCAGCGAAAGCGTATTGCTGAGCTTTGCCTGTTTTGCTTAGCTGCAAAAGCTTGCCTTTGTACACTTTGTATCTGTTAGATACTTTTTGGGGTTTTTGTTGAATTTCACGAATTCTGGCTCATTACAAGACCATCAAGTGGGTTAGTTCTTGGCCGCAACTATAGGTTCTACCTTTGTGAGTAATTTCTCTGGGTTTTGATTATCTTATCTGCATTTTTTTCAAGCTTTTTCCAAGGCATTTCGGTTTGCTGGACAAGCTACTCGCACAGATACAGATACAGATACAGCTGGTGCTGCTGCTGCTACTGCCTGGTGTGATGTGGCTGTTGCCTTTGCTTTTTCGAGTGGGGAAAGTAGGTCAATTACACGTGTCGTGTGTGTATGTACTGTGGGTCGTACATATGTCTATGGGGCCCGTACATAGAGACGGTTTTTTATGCTTGGCCAGCATAATCAAACAAGCTCTTTGTGTTGCCAGCGTTTTCTGGTTTTTCTGTGTTGTTTGTTGTTTTTTCTTCTCTTTTTATGGTTTTCTGGTTTCTTTGGTTTTTCGTTCTCCATTCTCCATTCTCTGCTCTCTGTTTCTTTTTGGCCTGATCAAAAGTTTACTATTTGCTCAGTTCTTCATTCTTTGTTCTTTGTTTTCTCTTTTTTTCCCCCTTTGGTTTCTAGGCCAAAACGCTGCAATGGGCAATCGTTCTTCTTGTTTATCTTCCATGGAGTTCTGGTCTGTAGATACATATATCTATCTACAAATTGTAGATAGATAGCTGGCGGTTGTTGCTGGCTGAGATAATAAATCGAGCTAGGGCCCTTTTAGGGGGTGTTTGTTGTTTGTTATATACTTTTTATCTAGAGTAAAAGCACTTTTAAAAAGTAAATATACCCATACATTTATGGGTATTTAGATCTTTCCTTAAAGCATTTTTTAAAGTGGATAATTAGGTAAGATTATTATAAAGGAAACCATCAAGAAATCTATGTTTTATCGTACAGTTAAAAGATCTAATTAAAACCTATACTTTAGAATATATTAGATAATTATCTATTAGTTACAAATTGTAGTAAGTTTAGATACTGCAAACTTTAAAAATTTTTCCTGATGATTAAGGTTAAAACAAACTTACGAAAAGGTTTTTATATGCCAATTACAACCTTTTTTGATTTCTTATTTCCTCAATAAAACCTATGATATTCCATTTTTTAAGTCATTTCAATTTGGAAAGCTGTTCTGTGCTAGGTTTCATTAGGTTTATAAATCTGCGTACTAGATATAATATTTTGAAAAATTTTAATTGATGTAACCCCTTTCCTTTTTTTAAAAAATTGAACGTTTTTGAAAATTTGTTTTTCATGTCGGAGATGGCTAGATTTATTCGGCTTTTGATGCTGATCAAGAATATATTTGATTTATGGGGTAGGAAATGATTCCTTCACTGTGTTTTTAGCTTCTAAATACATTTAAAATCCTTTTTATTGGTATAAAAACTTTCTAATCAGTAAATAAATAAATGTATACTGTTGTTTTTATTAAAACCCTTTTCCTATAAAATAATATAATTTCCGCTTTAAATCTTTATTTTTTCATAATTTTTAAAAATGTAATACTTAGCACTAGTTCTACTTAATTTTACCCATTTTTGGACTCCAAAAACTATGTTTAATTTCCTAAAACCAAAATAGCAAAGCTCTCGAATGCTTGGAGGACATTTTTCCCGTGTGGAAAGGACGTTGAAAGGACAAGGAAAAGCATTGGAATGTGCGAATGTGCGGGGATGGATGTGGGGGTGGTATGTACATACACCAAATGGCGCAATTTAGTGGGAGGCATTTTCGGTGCTCCCAGAGGGTGCTGGGTGGGCGGGGTGGTAGGGGAGGAGTGAGATAAAAAACCGTCCAACTACAGCAACAACATACATATATATATATAAATATATATACCCGCAAATTGGGTCAATCGATAAAAGAGGCAGCGACGCTGACAGCGAGAGGCGGCACATGCGCTGACATCGAGGTTGGGGGATGGGGTGTGGCGCCCAAGGAGCTTTCCCTCCCAGCTATGACCAGCTTTTCCAGCTTTTCCTTTTTTCCTAGCTGCCGGGAAAGAGAAGAGAGAGAAAGAAAGAGTAATCCAATTGTAGGTGGCTCCAAATATATGTATTTATATATTGAAGCCTGGTATATATAGCCTCGTTCCATATATACATTTATAGCAGCCTTGCTGCCGTTACATGGCTCCAGCAATATGGATTACATCACACGAGGTTCTGTTTCTGCAGACCATGGGGTCTCTGGGTGGGTGTGGGTGTCTGTGTGTGTGCCGGGGTGTGTGTGTGTGACTTTTAATATTTTATAGGGCAGCTGTCACTGCTCCTGCTGCTTCAGTTGCCACCCATAAAAGGCGCCACCAACGCACCCCATAAAAATCCCCGCTCCAAGCCACTAACTGCGGGCTCATAAAACTGAGTTTTTGGGGCAAATATATACAATATTTACACGTATATATATATATACATATATGTATATATTGCTGATAAAATAAATAAAAGAAATCAAGCCCGGGAGTCGTAATGAATGTTTTTTCTCTTTTGCCAGGGCTGATTAAATTTTTGCCAGCAAAATTCTAAGTATTTCTTAGCCCCCAAAGAATGTTAAACACTTTGGACTTCTCCGGGCTCAAGGCTCAAAAGTTGCTCGGACTTTGGTTTTTAGCAGTACAAAAATAATTTTTTGAAAGTTATTCAGGATATATGTAGGTTGAGTGGCTTTTAAGGAAAAGTTAGTTATACTATTTTCTATTTTCTTGAGATATTACAACTTTGAAATAAGTCTTGTTTTTTACTTTTGTTAAACTTAAGCTTTTAATATAACATTTTATTTATTTAAAAGAAGGCCTTTATATTCTTTCAGTTTATTTTTATTTCAGCTTCAGATAGAGAGTAATAAATACTCTTTTTAAATAGATTTCCTGTTACCTTTTTCGGCATTTCCTTTGAGTTAAAAAAACTTGATCACATTTTCTATATCTTGTATTATTTTTCATAATAGGAACGTAAGTTCAAAAAACACTTGATAAGCTAGGAATTTATACTAAATTGATACTTAAAAAGAAATCAATTGTTGTCCACCTTTATAGCCTGATAATTACCTTTATAAACAACCTGTAATACCCGGAAGTGGGTTTTTTACACAGATTTAAGAGATTTTATAGAGACATGAGAGACTAAAAGATATTTTCACAGTAGTATTTATATTTTTAAATATTTATACTTAATTTGGCCTTCTATTTTTAGTATTAAAATGAGAAAAATAAGCTAGATTAACTTTGATTTTGATATATTTATAAAAATTATAAGCTATATTAACTTTTTTCTACATGTATAAATGTAGAATGAATGTAACTATTATTGTTCATACAGCGACACCTGGTGGCTTACAAAAAAAGTTATATCGTTAGTTCCAAGGTGAGCCACTGGATGGCGCTATAGTAGCATAATGAGCGATATGGCAAGGCCTAACAATAAGGCGGAAATTTCAAATACTTTGATATAACAAAAAAAAAGTAATTTAACGAGCAGAGGATTGTAAATAGTTTGTTGTTACATTTTGTATAATTTGTTGACAAAAACATGCAGGCGACTGTACCAGAAAAAATGTATTAAATACTTGATTCCCACCTTATGAAATTTATTATTGAATTTATAAATTTAAAATAAAAACCAACAGGGAAACTAACTTCGGAAAATCAAAATTTATATACCTTGTGGCTTAAAATACTTCCATTTTGTAAATTGATATTTACCAATATTTTTAAGTGACAATTTGTTGGGGCAAGTGAAAATTTTAAAAACTCATAACTAAATCAAAACCCATTAATTTAATTTAGAAGGCATTCTCATTTTAGATTTTATTAGGTTAATAAATCTGAATTACAAATTTTAAATTAAAAATAAATAAAAAAGGTTTTGACTAACATTATAATACCCTACAGGGAAAATTAAAATCTATGGAAATCAAGTAAAGTAATCCCGTAAAATCATTTAAATTGCAAAACTGGTTGATATTATTTGAAATATATTTTATTGGTAGGCAGTTTTGAAGAACATTTGTAATGACATTTATATAATGAACATGTTTCAAATAATCATTTTCATCTCGCTTTACTTTCCTCACCCATTCTTTTTTTTGTAATATTCTTCTATGTATGTATGTATATAATAAATTTATTTACTTTATTATTATTATTATTAATATTATTATTATTATTATTATAATTATTATTATATATTTTCCCACCTCTCCTCTAATCGATTTTTTTACTTTGTTTAGTTGCTGCGGTTGCTTTCTTGTTTTTTGTTTACCGTTTATGTTGCTCTTTGTTTTTGTTGTTCTTTGTGGTTGATTTATAATTTGTTGTCATATACCTTGTAAACTTATGTAGTTCCATATATGTATAATTTATATATATATATATATATGTATGTATATATATATGTGTGTATATATAATGGCTTACTATAAGTTACTTAAAAAACATTATATAATAAATATTTACTCGTACTTTATGTGTATGCCTCCCCCTTGTTTCCGTTCACATTACTTTTTCTACTCCTCCTTAAAGTCCAGTACTCAGATCGACAAAATTTCCTTGTGGGGTTCGAGAACCAAGACGAAGGACGAGAAGGATGGCATAGTGTGCCCGTTCAACTATCGGTGATTTGTGTCTGTCTATTGAATGGCCACACTGTGTCGATATTTTTAGTTTTCCAAACGCTTTGATCGATCTGAGTACTGGGCTTTACTTCATATATTTGTATAATATATGTATATATATATATTCTTTTTATTTTACTTTATTTTATTTTATTTATCAATAATTATTACCAATATCGTAGATCACCAAACTTGTTTTTAAAAAAATGTTTACACGAAATTGATGTTGCCCTTCTCTGCGGTTTTCATTATCTGTTTTGGGTAGTTCAGTTATGGATTTATATATGTTTTCTTTGCTAGAGGGATTCCCACTGTTCTGTTCTGCCTCTTCCTCTCTATCCAAGTTTTTGCTTTGACTACGATCTTCGGCTCTGATGGATGATGCTGTGTGTATCTTGTCGTATCTATATAATTTGCGCTCGCTTTTTTATATTATATTCATGTATATATTCTATATTCATCTATCGTATGCTTTGCTCTAGTCATAAATATTTATATTTATATTTATATTATATATATATAGGTCTATGTACAGAGAAGTACACAATGGGGGGCTAATTAATTAATCGCTTGCATTATCGATAGGTAATTGTCGACTTGTGATCGTTACTTTCCCATATAAATTCATTTAGTGGCCTTGCCCGGGATCGCTTTATTATGTTTTCTTGCCTGATATCTGTTAGGGTGTGTGTTGAGTGTGTGCCTATATTGAGTTTACAATTTGCTAAATTACATTATTCGAGACTTTTTGGTTTGCTTTCGTTTTGTATTTGTTTTTTTTTTCTTTTGCTAGAGTTGTGTAGAAAAAGTCGACAAAGCTTTCCTGGCTATCCTTTAGTTTCGTATTTTGTTTTAGTTTTATTATTTAGTTTTTGTTTTTTTATTTTATTTTTATTTTTTGTTTTTCTTTTAGTTTTTTTTGTATTTGTAAGTAGGGTACACGACGGCGGGGATAATATGATTAAAGTGTCTTTACGGCGAATACTATAAGTATTAGATAGTACACCGTTAGTTCATGTTCTTATTCTCAGATTTTGTTCGTTACTGCTGCTGCTGCTGTAATTGAGACTATCTAGGCTAACCATACGATACGTGGTAAGTTAAGTTTAGTTAAGTTAAGTTAAGTTTAGTTAAGTCAAGTTAAGTTATGTTAAATAGTTAAAGGCAAACGTTTCTTTCATCTTTTATATAACTCGAGATCGAGAGTGAAAGTGAAAGTGACTGGGTGACCAAAGTGGAACTCGCAGCGTTAGGAAATCGCTTTTTCAAAAATTTGTGGATGCTATGGATATCGGATATCTAGCACTTCTTTCGCCTCAGATATGTTGGCTTCCAATAAAGCAATTTGTTTTTGTAAAAAATGTACCATCTACCTTGTTGATCCATCTGAAACTGTATCTGACTGAGATCGTGAGTGTATCTGTATCTGTAACTGTATCTGAGAGTGTGTAAGTTTCGTGGTGTGTCCTTGTGGGTGGTTGTATTGTCAACGTGTGTTTGTCTTTTATATCTCAGGAGCCCAGGAGCCAGAGTGATGTGTTGGTTCTACGGTGAAGTTAGTTCGGTTTTGATTTGTCGATAGTTAATTGTTCTCGTGTTCTCAATGGTCTGCATATAGGTTGATTTCATATCGTTATATCATTATATATATGTTTATATAGGTTAACTTTCATATATAATACAATTGCTGTTATGCTTACACAACTAGACACTTATGTACACTTCTGTCGAACACGAAGATGTAACTAATTATTACTTGACGCGCGAACTCGCATTCATTTCTGCCCTTCTGCACCGTAAAAAAATCCGATGTTCCTGGTATAGGAACTTTTTGGGGATCTCTTTTTTTTTGGCGGGAGCCAGGGAGAAAGGGGGGACGAAAAGGAGTACCCTAACATATGTACATACAAATCGAACGATGGCAAAACTTAAAAGTCAAAGCAAATAAAGAATGCATCTCTATCGTTATTTTCTTGGTCGTTAATCGATTATCGAAATGGTGGCAAGTACTTTATCGATTCGATCTAATAATCGATTTATTAGGTGCTGAAAGATCTGCGGTTAATTTAAAGCGCTATGCAGAGTCTTCCCTCTGGGTTCTACTACTCCTTCGTTCTGGGATTATGATATAGGCTTGTTATGATATGATTGTGTTGTGTCTTTTGCTTCGTATCTTTTTCTGAATGTCTTCGTGGTGTTGGGGCTTCTCTATATGGTAACCGAAAGTCAAAATAATGCAATAATCGAATTGATAATCCCTAGGCCTCTAATTCCGTTCTATCAAATATGCTTGCTTACACTGGCAGTGATGACTCCTTACCCTATCTCACGTATTCTTTCCTATATTCCATTTAAATTTCATTCTAGGTAAATTATACATAAACAAAATCAATCGGAAACACTAACGTTTGCTACTATAGCTATGTAAATATATATATATATGGGTACATATATGTTAGTTAACAATAACACTCTTCGTTCTGTTTATAAATCAAAAGCAAAGGATTACAAGGGGGACCCCGGACTATATGTATATAGATCTAATATATATAAATACTCCTTCCTTATTCGCATTCACAGCTGAGATAGGTAAAGCTTGCGTAATGGACTCGATCTATGCTGTATGTTATTAGGGGCTAAGGAACGTGGGGATATCGTGTAGATTTGAACTAATTAAAATAGAGATTGCGTTTTGGTTTGTAGTTAATGCTGGAGTTTATTTTTTAATCGGTAATATCCATACTAGGCGATACGAATGGTTAGGTAGTGTCTTTGCTCCGTTCTCATTATGGATCTGTATATGTATATACTCGTAGATAGTTCTTTGGTACACGGCTAAAGGCTACGCAATATAATTGGTATAATCGCAATGCATGTAACTACAATTTACATGTATATATATATATATTTCATATCTGTATTATCTGTGGTGTATCATTTATTGCTCTACATATATGTAGTATCCGTATCTGATGGATGCCAATGCTTTATGTACATGTATGTATGTTGTGACTGTGTGTTGGTTGTGTGAAGTGATGAATGCTCATGTTTAACTAACTATAACAGGGACTAGCTTATATAACACAGTGCACTCTGGGTCCAAAGCAGATCATTATCTACTTTAATGCGACTTTAATGCTGTTACTACATCTCCTAGCCTCCTCTCCTCGATAGTCATGGCTAATGGCTGTGCCTCAGGAAGTAGTCTTCTTCGACCGACAGAGAGAAAGTGAAGGACAGAAAGCTCTTAACGGATGGGGGGATAGAAAGGACCTCAAGGCGTGTGTGTCTGTGTTTTTGTGTTGTCTAACGATAAACTTTAAGTTGAGTTTGAGTTTGAAAAAGGATTGAGTTTAGAGAGAGAGAGTTAAGAGAGTTTACAAAGTACGCTATACCAGCTGACTTTTAAATGCATCCACAATTTGAGTATAGCGGCAAACCTAATTACACAATACACATAAATATCAAATAATTTGCATTTACATGGTGTCATTTACAATGTGTGTGTGTGTCTCAGTGTTTTTTTTGTGTATATATCGTGTGTGTTTTTAGAAATACTGCATAGTTGGTATTGGTTTTTGGTATCGGTATCGGCATCGGTAGTATACAAAATAGTAGACAGTGCTTTTTTGGTAATTTTCTTATGCTGTGTTTTCGGTTTTTCCATTAACGCTGCAGGTAAATAGTACAGGTGTATTCCCTTAGCCATAACTGCATCTGAATCTGTGTTTAGGTTTCTGTGGGCACTGTTTAGAAAAAGCTCTTCAAGAAGCCAGCTGGACCAGCCTAAAGAGGGGAAAGTAATTAGAATTAAGTTTTGTTACTATATCCTTTTATTAAAACTTACATCCTGCTGCTGCTGTTGTTGCGTTTGTGCTTGTTTGACTTTGGCTTGAGCGATCTTTAAGGCTCTGCAAGGATATTATTTGATTAGCTTATATCCTAGGTTAAAGTTCAATTAAGGACTCACTGTTGCAAATCCATGATGGTCTTCTCCTTGGCATTCTGCTCTTCCTGCGACATTTGTACCAATTGCAGCAAGCGTTCCGTTTCGGTTGCCGCCTTCTTGTGCTCTTCTTTGTGTTTTGCAGCTCCTTGACGCACCTGAAATTGGGAAAATATCGAATAATGTTATATATCTGCTATGACTTTGATATAATTTAGAAAATTGCGCAAGATACTTACGCTTCCAGTTGACGCTGCGTATCCATGAGCTTCTTGTTGAGCTCCCCGGCTGCTGCCGCTCCGCCACCTTGCGTCTGGAGTGATTTCTCCAGCTGGTCCATTTGCTCCTTGCGCTTGCGCAACTGTACATCGAATTCGGCCATTTTCTTCTCCTTATCCTCGATGTCCTTGCGCTTGGCATCGATCTGCTTGCGCTGCTCGTCGATGATCTTACGCTCGCCCTCGGTGGCCTTGGCCTGGTTGTCGATCTGCTTCCGAACCTCCTCCAGCTGCTTTTGCTGCTGCTCCAGCTGCTGGCGTTGCACATCGGTGGCACCGGCTCCCGCACTGGCTGCCTGTTGCAATTGTTGCATCTGTTGCTGCAACTGTTGCACCTGCTGCTGCAATTGTTGTACTTGTTGCTGTGAGGTTTGAAGCTGTTTGGCCTGCTCCTGGTTGGACATCTGGTAGGGAAATTGAATGAATATTGTGTTGAAGGGAAAAATGCACGTCCAGCTTACCTGGCTCTTTTCCAGCTCCTGAACTAGGAGCTCTAGTTGCTGCTGGAAGCGATCCCGCTCGGTGCAGGCTGCCTGCAGCTCGCCCTTGACCTTCTCCAGTTCCTTGGCATCCGCTCCGCCAGCACTTGCCGCCGTTTGTTGCTGCTGTGCCGCCTGCTGCTGCTGCTGCGCTGCCTGTTGCTGCTGCTGTTGCATCTGTTGCTGCATCTTCTGCATTTGGGCATGCTGGTCCTTGATGTGTTGGTCCATAAGCTATGTCCAAGAACAATGGGAATTGTTAGCTATCAACTTGATTAAAGGTTTTCTTTTACAATAAAAATGTTTCTATTGGATCCAATATTAGTTTCAAAAGAGCTGTAACAGTTGGAACAAGTGTAAGTGTTTTCATAAATTGAAATAATGATAAATAATGAAAGCTTCAAGCCTTTAAATTTAATATTAGTAAAGGTAAATTGAACCTGAATTAACCTTAACGAAATCATACAACTACAAAATTATAATGTGAAATACTTACTTACATTGGCATTAAAAATGTGTGAAAATTAGTGACTTAGAAAGTATCAGAGTATTATGTTGTGTTATATATTAAATATAATAAGATTATTTTTGGTGATGTCACGTTTCTCATCGTATGTAATGTAATGTTTGCATCCATTTCTCCTCCATTCTCACCTGAATCCGCTTGTGCATCTCCTGGGCTGCCTTGTCGGCCATGTCGGCACGTCCTTTCTCCTGCTCGATGACCTTGCGCCATTGCTCGATCTCCTCGCGACTCGCACCGGCCGCCGCTGCAGCCTGAGCCTGCTGAGGACCGGCAGCTGCCAGAGCCCGCTCCGATTCCTGGAGCTTCTGCTGCAGTGCCTGGATCTCCTTCTGCATGGCCTGGATCTCGGCGGGAGAGGCTCCGGCGGGTGCTGCTGGCTGGGGTGGCACTTGGTGGCCATTCCTCAGCTTGCGATTCTCCTCGCGTGTCTTTTGCAACTCCGCCTCGGCATTCTGCAGCTCCTTCTGGAAGTTCATGAGAATCTCCTGGCTCTTCTCCAGCTGCAGCACCAGTTGCTCCCTCTCCATGGCCAGCTGCTTGACATCGGACTCGAGCTTCTGGACATGCTTCTCCAGCTGCGGATGGGGGGCACCGCCAGGACCATTTCGGCTGGCTTGACGCAGTGCCTCGCGCTCGGCCTCGGCCTTCTCGAGGCGGTCGTGCAGGCGTCCCAGCTCGGCGCCCATGCGCTCGAACTCGATCCGCGTGGACTCGGTGTTCTCCTGCTGCTTGGCCAGATGCATTTGCGCCTTCTCCAGTTCCTTGGCCAAGCGACCGGCCTCCAGCTCGGTGGCGTCGCGCGACTGCAGCGCCTTCTCGAGGCGGTCGCGCAGCCGATCGATCTCCTGCCGCTCGCCAGCGGACAGAGCGGAAGAGGAGGACGTCGACGCTCGGACCGGATCGCCGGGGCTCACCGAGGACTGTTGCAGGCGCAAACGATCGACCTCCTTCAGCAGCTTCTCGTGCTTGTCCCGTGCCTTCTCCCGCTCGATGTGGGCCCGCTCCAGCTCGGAGCGCTGCTTGTCCTGGTTGGCCAGCAGCTTGGCCACCTCGCCCTTGGACAGCTCCAGCTGCAGGCTGGTCTCGTGCAGCTTCGACTCCATGTTCTGCACCTCGTTCTCGATCTTCTCGTACTTGTCCTTGTACTTCTCGAACGACTCCGACTCGTACTGTGACTTGCCCCGGATCGTCTCCAGCTCCATGAGCGTCTTGTCCAGCTTCTCGCGCAGCCGCTCGTTCTCCTCCTTGAGGCGTCGCGTCTCCCGCCCAAAGGTGTCCGTGTCCTGGAGCTTGCGCAGCTCCACCTGGCTCTTCTCGTACCGATCTCGCATCTTCTCCAGCTCCACGGCATAGTGGGCGGCCTCCTCCTTGGCGGCCTCCACACTGGCTGCCGCCTTGGTTTGTGCAGCATGTGCCCGCTCCAGTTCGTAGGTAACCCGTTCCAGCTCCGACTGGAAGTGCTCCTTCTCGCCCTGGGCCCGCCGTATGTCCGTTTGCAGTTTGTCGAAGCGATCACGACTGTGCTCCAGCTCGCTGCGCGCATTATCCTCGCACTCCTTGGCGCGGCTCAGCTGGAGCGCCGCCCGATCGCAGGCCTCCTGCAGCCGTGTGCTCTCGTCCTGCAGCTTGCGCAGATCCTCGCGTGCCTTGCCGGCGGCCAGGCCAGACCGTTCCGCTTCCACCTCCAGGCGAGCACGATCAGCTTCGGCTGTGTCGCAGCGGGACTGCAACCGATAGATCTCGTTCTGGGCTCGGTCATACTTCTCCAGCATCTTCTCGAACTCCTTGTTGGAGGTGTCCTTCTCGTCGATTAACTTCTGGCTGGCATACAGGGCCTTGTCCAGCTTCTCCTTGAGGATCTCCACCTCGGTGACGGCATCATCACGCTCCATCTGAAAGATAGTTAGCACAAGGGAAGGGGGATTAGGTCACAGGGGGATGTACGCCAGTGGACAGCGGGATGCGTGGGGAAAGCTACGGATTTACATATACAGCCAATTCACTGGTACTTCAGTTCAGTTTTCATGCGGTTTTTGTTTTGTTTTTGTTTTTTCGAAACAATATGCAGTACAGACAAGTCAAGGATTATATAGTATATAGAGTGGGAGTTAAGGGTTAAGGTTTTTGGGTTTGATAGCCAATTGTTTTGGGTTTCTTTCTTCTGGGATTACCAGGGGGGATACCTGAAGAAGAACGAATCACTGTTAAAAGTTAGTGGGGGAAGAGGGTCAATTACCTGGAGTTTCTGCTGGATGGCGTGAGATTTTTCATAGCGCTCCTTCAGGACCTCCAGATCCGTTTGCATTGCCTCCCTGTCGCGGGCAGCCTTCATGAGGAGCGTATTCGAGGACTCGGAGCGCTCCTTGAGCGTTTCCAGCTCATCGGAGAACTGATCCCGCTCCTTCTGGATGCGCGCCAGTTGCATCTGGGATTTCCAAAGTTGAGTGTGTTTTTGTGTGTTGTGTGTGTTTGAGGTGTAAGGTGTGACAGTCGAAAGATAGTTACGCATACGTAGAGATATATGTTAGGGTTAAGTAGTTAAATATATATACAAGGCAGGGTTTTAGGGTGCTTGGGGGTAAAGCAATAGCAGTCACATTGATCTAAGCGAGGCTTCGGTATGTTTATATTTAGTAGTTGTTATTGGTTAGTTAGTCTATATAGTATCTCAGGGGTGGGGATTTGGTTAGCACAACACAGTTTACACGTTTACGGTCACAGACATATGTAGGTATCGGTTAGCTAGTCACTTCGAAGATGGGTTTGCATTTGGTTTGGTGTGGGTTTCGGAGGGCTTGGATGGGACCCGGGCATACCTGCGTCTTCTCCAGCTTCTCCCGAATGCGGTCCGTGTCCAGGGTGAGCGTTTCGCGCTCCTTCTGTATGCGGGCCGCCTGGCCAAGGGCCTTGTCCAGCTGCGACTGCAGGTTGTCATAGTCATAGGTGAGCTTCTCCTTCTCCAGCACCAGGCGACGGTTCTCGGTGCCCATCTTGTCCAGCTTATCCTGCAGATGATCGACCTCGTTCTGGGCCTTGTCCAGCGAGTTCTGCAGCTTCTCGTGCTGCAGCTGCGATTTGCCCAGCGTCGCCTGCGTGCGCTCCATCTCCTCCTTGATCTTTTCCACCTCGGAGAAGGCCTGTGCAACGGATGGTGGTTTTGTTTTTTGGGTGAGAGAGTGGTGTGGTTGGGTTGGTTAGGTGGGGTCTTCAGGGGTTACGGATTTGGATGCTTAGCTATAGCTAAACGGTTTTGCCTACCCGATCGCGATCGGCGTGAATGCGCGAGACGCCGCTCTGCGCCTTCTCCAGCTCCTGGCGTAGACTCTCCTGCTCGCCCTGGGCATTCTCCAGCTTCGCCTTGAGCCGATAAACCTCGCCCTGGCTCTTCTCCAGCTTCTCCTGCAAGGCGGCGGCCTCTTCACGTGCCCGCTCAGCATCCGACTGTATTTCGATTTCGATTTCCGTTTCCGTTTCCGGTTCGTTGGTTGGTTTCATTATCAATCGATCGAACGTTGTTGGATCGATGGTTTTATGATGTTGTTGTTTCGGAGGGGGGTAGAGTGGATGTTGGATAACGGATATTATTTACATGGCCATCATGGGGGACTAGGTTCTTAAATGACTGATTCGACTGACTGACTGACTGGATGTCTGACCGATTAGTAGACACAAATCAAAGGTTTAAGGTTGACAAACAACAAATACTAAATAACAATAAGTAATACTTAATTTACGATAACGATTACGAACACGATTACAACGTCTAGCGAGCGAGATAGCGATAGAGAGAGAGAGGAATAGCGAGCGATTTATGCTGCAAGAAGCTGACATTTGATAGGAAGAGAGATAGAGAGCGAGCGAGAGGTCACAGGAAGTGAGAGTAATGAACAGGAAATGAACTCGTTGGTTGGGTTTTTTTAGCTTAAGATTTTTGGGGTGTATTAGGGATACTAGACTGATTAAAAGGTTATAAAATATATTTTTATAAACATAATTGAAGTGAAAACTGGGATAAAATTAAGGCAAAAACAGTTCAAGGAAGGCTAGAATGAAAAAAGGTTACTAAGGCCAAGGTGGATCTGACGTTGAAATTATAATAAGGCAAGCGAAGTGCCTGTTAAATAGCATATAGTTATCTATCTTTGCTCCTTGGCAAAGTTTTGAGATACAATTTAATGCAAGGAATGTATGAGTTGAAAATGTATCTAGGTTTTATGTTGTTATAGTTACCAAAAGGTTTCTAATTCTTCTTTAACTTTTAATTAACTCACAAAAATTCCATTCGGGATTAATAAAAGTTATACAAATTTAAGGAATTCTAATAAACTTGACTGATTCCCAAAATCCTTAGAGCTTAAGATAGAACTGGGTAATGGAAATGGAAATGGAGTACGACTGGCAAACACTGGGTTCCAGATGAGTTCAGGATGAAGTTGACAAACCACAGATGGCTCATTAGTGCAAGAGGAAAATTGGGAGGAGGTGAAAATAGCGTGTGTTGATTAAGAAAGTAAGTGAAAGGTGCGAGAGCAAAGTAAGGCAAAGTGTGTGTGTGTGTGTGCGTAATGGTGGCGCTTGTGTGGGAGAGCGAGTGTGAGAGCGTGTGTGAGAGCGAGTGAAAGTGAAAGTGACAACGCAGTTAAGTCAATTAACTAGGCCATAAGCCAGTTTCCGCTTTTCTTTTGGCTTCCTTCTCTAGGACCTCCTTCTCGTACTGACAGTGTGTGGGTGTACGCGGTGTGTGTTGTGTGTGTCCAAAGGCAAAACGCTCCAGGATACTTTGTCATACTTTGCTAGCTTCCGGTTTTGGGGCAGGCTTTTCGTATCGAGATTACACCGGAACTATGACGGATAAGCTCTAGGCAGATTTTTCTTCACCAAGGTCAAATGATGAATTTATGTACAATGTTTATGTATGTTATATATATATAGTATATGTATGTGTGTGTATTTTTATGCTTTTATGACAGCAATGTTAGTATATTCACAGGCAATATGCAAGTTACATTAAATTGAACAAGTGACAGATTGCAACTAGCTTTTTGGTTTGGTTTTGGAATACTTTTTGTTTTGGGTTTTCGTTCAAGTTGGCAATCGAATTTAATTACGATTAAGTTGCTTTACTAAAAACTTGTTTGATTGATTGATTGCTTGGAAGCGGTTTTACTCACAAAACGTTTTTCAAAGTCGCCCTATATATAGAGAATGAATGTAAGCACAACGGTTTGGATAGAGTTTTGGTTTTAGTATACATTGTCTCAACGGTGGCTTTTTGCATAAATATAGTCTCTTTACAATTTACATAGAGTTACTAAGACAATATACAAATTACAAGTTACAGTTACATTTACGTTAAAGTTTAAGTTAAATTAAAGTTTACGAAAAAAGCAATAGAACTGAAAAAGAGCTCAAATCGAGTTTATAAACTTCAGGTCCTTAGAGCCAGGACTTTAAAGGTGTGTGTGTGTTGTGCTCGGGTTGTGTGGGCTTTAGCATGTGGCAGCGGAAACAGGTGTTCGAGGTGTGTGTGTGTGTGTGTTCAGGGGGGGAAAAGTGTCAATCGGAAAAGTCTCTTCTTCGCGGGGTCCATCAACAAGGCACACACGCACGCCGAGAAACGAGTATATAAGATATATATTTTACACACACACAGAGAGAGAGAGATTGTAGGCATTTGCCGGGGCAATGCACTTGCAGAGTTCATTTCATACATCAAATGTTCATATTTATATATTCATATATGTTATATATATATGTATATGTATAGCTAACTAAAAAGAGCATTCGCATATCGATATATATAAATATGTTTATGGCTGTCTCGATTCGCAATTCAAAATGTGGCTTCAAGTGGACCATACCTGGTGACCCTCAGCTCGGCCTGAGTGCGTCGCAGTTCGGCGGATGCCTTATCCGCCCGCTCCTGGGCCCGGTCCAGTTCCTGGGATGTGGTCATTGTGGTCCTGCCAAACGTCGTCTATTCGTGGACGAGAAACGGTAAATTAGTGATATGAACACAGCCAGAAGGAGTTTTTTAGGATAACAAAGTGCAAAGAAACAACATCGAAAGCGATTCAAGGCATTAGCAAATGTGTGAAGTGATGTGTGTTTGTTTACAAGGATAATGCTGATAAGGATAATGATGATGATGATGATGGTGCTCGAATGAGTCCAGCAGGCGAGCTGTTGTCCAATTCATAAAGCTGTGAATGATTCAATGAGACTTTTACTTTGACTTTTGCTTGTGCTTTTTGAGTGCATTTGACGCTTGGTTCTCTAGTTATATAACATATATTCATTCGATCTGGTTATCGTGACGTGAGCTGTACTTTTTGTAATTTGTATCTATATAGACTGGCTTATATATTACGCTGGGTAGGGAGAAAAATGACTGATTTAGGCTGGGTCAGCGGCTTGGCCGACTTACCGATATCTTGCCCGTTTCGAACATTAACTTTTGTACATTCTGCAAGAGTACGGATACGGAACATATTTATATATATCTCTTAATCTTAGGTCACGCCCTCAGGTGTGATTCGTGGATGGTGAATGTGTGTGCATGTTCGGTGGCAATCAATTCAACTTATTCACACCTCCGTTTTTTTTTCTGCACACCGATTAAATCAAAACGAACCCAACTAGGTGAGGGCTGCTAATCCCTGTCTAAGTATAAGTATCTAAGTATCTAAGTGCGCAATATGTCAGGACTTTATCGGATCTGAAATCGTTGAAGGTGCTGCTGAGTGCTGCTAAGTGAGACTTCAGCCTGCTGCTGGCTCTAAATAATGGAATGGCGATAATTTAAATAGGTTTGGTGTTATTTTTTTAGGGAGCTAATGTGAGTTATATACGATATACGATATATAAATATGTTGTGGGGTTTTACGATATATAAAAGGTGCGATTTGCATAATAGCGGAATTCGATGTTTCGATATTTTGTCTTGGTTGATGTTAACGATAAGAACTATTTATGATACTTGAGTTATTTGCTTTTACAAGTTACTTAAGATCAGAAAATGGAAGATTTTTAATTAGATATTACAATACTTCGTTTACGATCAAATATACTATTACGATATTCAAGAGCAGGGGTGGGCATAAACAAAGAGTCAGGGAGAGCATTCAATACCCTAAGTACTACTTCTCGAAGTTTTTTCCTTTATTGATTTTGTATATTTAATCGATATTAATATTAATGTTGATTATCAAACAAAAGAGATCTTCGAAATGGGATAATTTTTGTTATTTTAAATTTCAATATATATTAAACTTGATGATATTGTCAATATCGCTTTGTATAATTATCAGTATACAAATATTAAAAATACCCATCGCTGCTCTTCTGTGAAAACTCTCAAATGTTTACGATATTCAAAGTTATTATCTACAAAACACTACGATTTACGATATTATGCAATTGATCTAGTTTTTGGTAATTGGAAGATTGGAATTTGGATTATTGGGCTTACTTTGTGTAGTGTGGTCTGTTCATCTAGCTGCATCTATATTTGGTTTATGTTGGGTGAGTTTTTTAATATTTTTATTTTTAGGTCGGTTGTTGGTTGTAGTTATTATTATTGTTGTTGTTGGGTAGTTGGGATGCGTAATGTGTACATGTAAATACATATTCAGATACAGATATAGATATAGATATATAGATATAAATATAGATATTGATGTGGATACAGATAGCACATATAGTATGTATGTTTATGCAAAATGGGTTCATAGATTATCGATATAGCAGTATGTACGTATGCGTGGGTGTTCCCTTGATTATATATACACAGCCCACACACATACATACGAACAGATTGATGATAAGTTAGTTATGATTATAATTATGGTCTTGATGTCATGGTATATATCCGCTAGGATATGCGAGTTAAACTGGTCATAATGCACGAGTACCTGCGAACGCTCCAAATCGTGTTTCAGCCGCTCGTTCTCCAGCTCCAAGCGGGCAATCCTCTGCTTGGTGGACTCCCAGTCGGCACTGCTCCGTCCCATCTCACAGGTGGCCTTCTCCAGCTCGGCCTTGGACTTGCCCAGTTCGCTCTGCGAAGCCTCCAGCTTGATCTCGAGTCGCTCCCGCTCGGTCACGGCCCGCTCCAGGCGCGTCTGTAGCTTCTCCACCTCACTTTCGGCGGCACGGAGCTTGATCTTATAGTCGGCCACCTCACGCTCATGGAGATCACGCTCCTCCTGCTTCTCATGCTCGGCACGATCACGCTGATCTCTCAGCTGGGCCATTTGCTTCTCCTTATCGCCAATGGCCTCCTCCAGGCTGGTCAAGGCACCCTCGGAGCTGCTGTGATGAGCTTGCATGGCGGAGAGACGGGCCCGTGCCATATCCACCTGGTTATCCTTCTCCTTGAGCAGATCCTCCAGGTTTTCAATCTACAGGGGGAAGAAATTAGGGCTTGAGGATGGTGCATCGAAAAGGAAGAGTTTCCCTTGGTTGGGGGTTTTTCTTCAAGTTCTTAAAGTCTTTTTGAAATACTTTATTTTCTTAACCTTATCTGAGACATTAACTAAACTTCTTAAAGATTAAAAGCATTAGCTACTAAATACTGAGTAGAATTTTACTATAAATTGCATAAACTATATTTTACTATATTTTTTCCACTAAAAATCTCATTATTAACCCATCAAATTAAAGGAAACTCTTTGTTTTTCTGGCTGCTAACAAGGTGTAAGGGTTGATTTAAGGAGTCTAACCTTGCGCTGGAGGACACTGATCTTGCGGTCCTTGATGTCCATGTGGTCCTTGATCTCGGTCAGTTCGCTGGTGAGGCGATTCCGCTCCTGCACGGTTTGGAGTGTGCCCTGGGTCTTCTTCTCGATGAGACGATTCTTCTCCTCGAGGCGGGCCCGCATCTCCTCGACATCCGTCTGCAGCATGTTGTAGTGCTCCTCTTTGGCACATAGCGACTCCTTGAGCACCGCTATGTGCCGCTGGTAGTCCTAATGGATATTACTTTACTGTGCAAACAACAAACTTGGTGACCCAACGCCTGGGGGGATTCATTTACCTGATGCTGCTCCTCGAGGGTTTTCATTTTGGCCGCCATCGCCAGGATCTCTTGATCCCTTCTCTGTATTTCAAGACGGAATTCGTCCAGCTGAATGGTCGAATGGGAGGTTGGGTTGTAGTTGTGGGTGGTGGTGTGATGGTTGGTGATTGGAAAGGAACGAACAAGTACAGAAGATAATTAGATCAGAATATGCTTGGCTCACTGGTAATGCCTGGGCCGGGGATAGATCCTTAGCCAGGACTACAGATACTGTTGGTGTGTTTTCTTGGTCTGCTTATTATTTGTTTGTTTGGTTATCGCAACAGGAAGTACGAGTATCTTGCTGCTGTGGCAAACTGAGTGTGGAAATGAGCGATTTAGAGGTGCGAAGAGCGAGCTTACGCCTTGTTGAGGAGATGACTGAGAAGTGGTGGAGATAATGGGATAATGTCTTTGGGCCCCTCCCCGTATCGGTACAGGTACTGGTACAGGTACAGGTACTGGTACTGGTACTGGTACTGGTACTGGTACTGGTACAGGTACTCGTTATCCTAACCGCCCTCGTTGGGTGTTATCCTGTGTGTATTTGGTGGGTGTGCTTGTGAACTATTATATTTAGTTCTTTTCATATATATTTTCTTTTCATGAACGACTTTCGGGCGTTCGGTTTTCGTATGTAATTTTTATTGTTTGCTTTCGAAAAGTTTCCATTTTATAATGCTTACAGCTTACAGTTAAGTTTAACAGATTTTCGAGAATATTCTTTGTTGCTTGTCGGAATTAAGTCTGAATGCGTTCTTAATTAGGTTTACAGTTAAATCATTGTATAAATAGTACATCCCGTGGGACCATAAATGTATATGCGTATAATCAGAATATTAACCATAATTATTCAAATACAATACAAGTATGTATATATTTATATATATATATATAGAGAGAGTTATGTATAATGTGTGTATATCTTATATCAATATTCAAATGCCTCGTTTCTTGTTCTGTTCGTCGTCTTGTAGAAGGAGGGATTATACAAATCAAACCTAATCGAAGGGGGGGAAATCTAAGTAGATTTTCTTTTCTTTGGCTGAGCAACAACAAGAACAGAAGTTGGAAAAGCTAGTGGATAATAGTATCTTTGTATCTTTGTATCTACTTATCTATTCACACGCTAGCACCGAAGTGCTGTCTTTCGAATTGGCTAGTGATAAGCTTTTATCTCTCGACTACACTCACATTATATATATATGTATGTATATATAAACAATTGAAAAGAGTTTTTTGTTTTTATCTATGAACACAATTTTCCGTTTTGCGATTGCTGCATATTTTATGGGGGGAAAAACTACCAACTACAACTAGGGTTCAAAAAAACGAAAGTAACTCCCGGATTCACAACTTCAAAACGGAATCATCTATATTGTATGTATATTAACCACTACTTTAACAAGAATTTTTCTTTTACTTTCTTTGAGAAATATCATCTACGCATTATAATTTCGATTTTTCAAGCACAAATAACAAGATATAATCGATAGCCCGACTTGGAAGTGTCCACTACTCAAAAGAATTCCTCTTATAATACTATAAATGTTCAAATTGATTTTAGGCTTCAGAATAAAGAGAGAGAATAAAACTCAACTCGGGGGGGATTAGCTTTTCAATATTTTGTATACTTATCGATCGATATCTATCGAGTGTATAAAGCGCTTCTTCGAATACGAAATACAAACACTAGTTGAGTCGAATATATATTTATATATTCGCATAGACACATTTTGAATGCTTCATCGTTTCACTTTGCTGGCTGTCTCTCAGACACACAAAAAACTAATCCAACCGATCTAATGCGATCTATATAATCCGGCTCTAGATTGCACATACATATAAATTTCAATGTTTTCGTTCATAATTGACCTTCATTGCTAATCACACGCTAGTTAATAAGTTTATAACTCTTGCATTTGCTTTTGCTGGGGAAGGCTTTCAGGGATACTTGAAACTTAATCGATACCTAACTTTACAAGGATGCTAAGACTGAGGCTGAGGCTGAGGCTGAGGCTGAGGAGATAAATAGTAAAGTTAGGCCTAAGTTAAACAATTGTTCTACACAAATGATGCCCACTAATACGAGATAGAGAGATAGGAAAAGTTTTAATTGGGTTACAGCTGCTGGTTAATTAGGTTAGTTAGGTAGTTAGTAGGTTGCTCGGGTATAGGAAAGGACCCTGGGTTACTATGACCATGCAGGGGCTTCGTTACTTAGTCACTTACAGATAGATAGAGTGTGTGTGTCTGTGCTGCACTAACAATTGGCTAAGTTGTCATCGAATTTTTCATACTAAGTACGAGTTACACTATAGGTTTTGATTTAATAAATTTCAAGCTTCGTTTATTTTTGCTTCTTGCTTTCACACAAAGTTTAAAGTAAATGTTTATTTCTTATCCTGTGTGTGTGTGTGTATATATAAATTGTTGTTTAACTTGTGAGTAAATCTCATTTAGTTTTTTATATACAGTCTTTTACTTTTGAGAGTCAAGAGCAAGGTTCTACAAATTTCCACAAACAGAAAGTCAAACAATTGGCGTTCTTCCATCCTATTTTTTCACTGAAAAGTTCTGCCCTGAGTGCTCTATGCAAAGAACCTAAATCGAAATCAAGGATAAAGCATTAATCGTTATATATATCGTTATTTATATCATTCGTTTCTTTCGGTTTTTGTTTCGTTTCGCTTTGACTGTTTGCTACTTTAAAATGGCACATGAAACAATAGTTCTCCTTCCTCCACTCTCCGCTGCTTAGCCTAGTTCTACTAAGAGTATTCCGATTTATTATCATATATCTTGTATATATATATATTGTATGTATAATACTTGGTGTCTTATCTTTTCTCCCTAAGCGAGAACCGTTCACTGCCAATGGGGCTCACTGGTTGATGCAGAGGAAAGCGTTAAATGCAGATCGGCCCGTTGGCCAGATCTTCTTCCAATGGGGTTTCATTCGATCTCTGATTGTTATATATATTTGTATATTTAATATATATAGAGGATGACTTGATGGTTTTCAATGACGTCGATTTGTTATGGGGGGGACTTTACGAATTAATTCAAATTTCTTTCTCAGGGCTTTTCCTGATTTTATAGTTCAGTTTTGAGTTTTCAGTTTTCGGGACGGGGAGGACTATGATGATTCTTTTTAGGAGTCTAGGGATAGCGTGTCTACGTCAAATTTAAAACTTACTTGTCGCTTATGCTCTTGCGGCAGTTTCGGGTAATCTAAGTCTAGTTTCGAGTATGGCAGATGATGGTGATGATGGGCTTGATGGGGCTGCGGACCCTGCGCCCCTGATGGTGCGTATGCGAGTGCGGATATGCCGTGTGATGCGAGTGATGCGAGGAGTGATGCGGATGCGAGTGCAGATGCGAATGCAGATGCTGATGCGGATGCTGATGCTGGTGCTGCGTGTGGCCATGATGCAGTCCCTCAGCATAATCCCTGGCGCTGCTGGCCAACGTTCCGCCAAAGGGTCCCGCCGTATTGGCCAGCGAAGCCAATGGATGGGTCTGCAGGTGATTCTGATGCTGATGCACATGGTACTGGTACTGTGGATGCATCTGCTGCTGCACCGATGCCTGGATGTGCGAGTGTCCTAGCGGCGGTCCTTGGGCACTGCCTCCATAGTGCTGCGTCCCGGCGAACTGTTGCTGCAGGTTATAGGCCAATGCACCGGCAGCTCCTGCTCCGGGCACCTGACTTTGGTAGTACTGCGAAATAGCGGGATTGGAGGCATGCAGCGATTGGGCCAACAGTTGACGCTGCTGGAAGGGAGCCAGGGGATTCCCATAGCCGCCGGCAACCCCCAGGTCACTCTGGTAGGGATTACCCCCATAGCCCCCACCATACTTGCAGGCCCCGTAGCCCGTTGTGGTGGGATAGCTGGACACCAGATTCGTCACCGAGTATGCCGGCCGCAATCGCGCCGCCGCTGCAGCGGCACTCTGGGCCGCCGTCAGCTGCGTGGGCAGGACCTGCTGGGCCTGCGCCGCCGGCTGGAAGTACATGTTCGGCTGCGAGGAGAAGCTCTGGGACATCTGCAGCAGGTTATCGTTGAGGTACGGCGGCGAGGTGTCTCCCGGGTGCAGCGTCGGGTAGCTGGACACGACACGGCCCAGGCCCATTCCTCCCACACCTCCCAGGGGCGTCGTCACCAGCTGTCCCAGCTGGCGAGCCTGATTCGTGAGATTAAGGATCTGCGAGCTGCGCGATATCGACTTGTGGCCTCGTTCAGCAGATTCACAATGTTCGAGGAGCTGGTCTGGTGCAACGGTGGCGCTGGATAACCATAGACATCATTGTACATGGTGGCCGAGGGCAGACCGGCAATGCTATAGCGTCTCCTGCGTATTGGCGAGGTCTGGCACTGACCCGTCCCATAGAGCTGGGCGGTGGACAAGGGATCGTAGAGGCCGCCATAGCCGCCGGCGGTGGCTGAGGTCGAGGGTCCGTACAGATCGTAGGCGGGGCCGTAACCGTTGCCCGCCGCTGAGCCGTAGGGCAGGGATCCGGGACCCAGGACCGCGGGACCTGGTCCGTAATACTGACCAATAATATCCGGCAAGGGTGGGCTGGTTCCGGCAATGCCCGAGTAGTTATTGTACATCTGAAACGGGGCGATTTCAAATGGTGGTAGCTGTAACTGCTGTGACTGACTGACTGACTGGTTGGGTTAGTTTGGTATTATTGGTTCTTTGGTACTTGGCTGTTTCTGTGGTGTCTAGAGAGCTCTCTGGGTCTGTTTTGCTTTTGTTGGGTCTGGTGTTATATATCTGTTATCTTTTAACTTTCACTCGATTTTCCGGCTTCGATGTGCTCACAGCATGATTTGGTATTAGTTTTGGTTTCAGTTTCAGTTTAAGTTTAAGTTTTAATTTAAGTATTAGTTTTGTTTCTGGTTTAAGTTTAAGTTCAAGTTTGAGTTTTGTTTCTGGTTCTGGTTCTGGTTCTGGTTTCTGGCTTTTCGTGTGGAGCGTGATCATGATCGTGGCTTAACAAACATTAGCTATCTATATATATAGAGGTTACATTATATATATTATATATATATATATAGGTATTTTTGAATTGGATTACATTTAACATAGCGAAAGCGATTTTTGCCCGAAACACTTACGAACTATTCTGGCCCCATTTTAAAACGTAAATAATTAGCTTTGGTTTTGTTTTTGCTGCTCTTGTTCTTGTTATCATTATAATATTATTATTAATTAATTATATTTGTTGTTTTTCTTCAAGTTGTTCAGTCTTTTCTTTTTTGTTGTTGACACTTTTTTGCGCTTAATTTACAATAAGGTTTTGTAATAGAATATGAGATTTGTTGATTATGAATTATGATTTTTTCGGTTCTGGCTTTTTGGTACTTTTTCGTTTAAACTTTCCATTTGGTTAACTCTTTCGGCTTTTGGCTTTATATAGTTAGTTCTTAGGCACTTTCAATGGCTCTTGTTGGCACCCAAAAAAGTTCAACAAGGGCGGGGGGTGGGCGTTAAAGTTGTACTGTGTGTATGGTGTGTTGTGTGTGTGTGTTTGGTGTGTGTTGCGTATGAGAAATGTTTGTGAGGGGGAGAGAGGAGAGGCGCAACATGAAATGTGTGTCACTTGGTTGACAGCCGCCACGAGGATGCGGTAGCTGCTAGTTCTTGTATCTATTTATGTGTGGATGCCTGTATCTATGTATCTATGTATCTTTGTATCTGAGCGAGTGGCAGGTAGGGTATTTTGTGGTGGTGGTGGTATCCCTGTATCTGCGTGTGTGTGTGTTTGTGAATGTATCTCTGGTCGCTGGCATGATCAACGTGGCATACAAAATGCAACTCGAATTCTGATTTCGTATTTGTTTATTCTCAAAAAATGGTTCGTTTGGCATGTTTTCTTGATAGTTTTTTTTGGAGGTATTGGTTTCAGTATTTTTGTTTTGTTTTTTGTACAATTGTATTTTTCGGTATTTTGTTTGTACGCAGAAATGAAACATAAATATTCGTATAACAATATATAGTTCAGATGCATTATAGAAATAACGTGCAAAAGTATATTTGTTAAATAATTTGGTTCGGTGTGTTGGAGAAACAAACAAACAAAATATATATTCATATAGTTGTTTAGACAGACAGTGAGCGAGAGAGAGAGAGACAGATAGAGTTAGAGAGAGAGATAGAGAGAGTGTGTGTGAAAGAGATCGACAGAGACAGCTTACATAGAGACTTAGGAGAGATAGAGAGAGATAACGCAAGTTATGTATTTCAGACAGAGCAGAGTATCGTTTTCTTTCGTTTCTTGTTCTGGAATTTTATAAATTCATGAAATATCTTTCAGTGTAATTTCCAGTGTGTTCTTGTGACAGAAGGGGGGGCCTGGGTCTGTGTTTCTGTGAGTGTGTGCGAGTGTGGAACCCATCATGAAGGTGTTCTTGTTGCATTGCGTCGTGTGTTTTGTGTGTGTGGTGTGTATCTGTGAGATCGATAATTATCGATAAAGTTCGAGAGCTTCGATCTGATCGGTCAACGTTTGTAGGTGAGGTTAGTTCGATATTACAAAAACCAAAAAGTAATATATCATACACAAACATGAATACACCGCCACACATGTGCACATAAGGACACACATGAACGTGTGTGTGTAAATGTCCTTTTTTTTGTTTGTTTACTTTTTTCTCTTTTTCTTTCTGGTCGGGGATCTTGGGGGGCGGGACTTCAAGGACCTTTTTTTGGGGGAATGGCGGGGCTTATATCTCGGTCTGTCGTAAGCGGAGTAACGCAATAATATCGAAAACAATATACTGGGAGTAACATATTTATATATATATATATTAGTTGTAGTTGCTGATATTCGGTATATATATTTATATATATAATGAGCGACAGAGATAGAAAGAGACAGACAGAGAGAGAGAGAGAGCGAGAGATGGAGAGAGAGATAGAGAGAGTGAGTGAGTGGGGAGAAACAGAGACAGAAACAGAGGAGTAGGAGTATATATTCATATGTTTGTTAGCCATATTGTGGATATATATACACGTCGTAATTGTTTTATCATTTTATCGTCAAAGAGTTGTCAGTGAATGAATCGAACTTCTTTGCTTATCTTCTTCTTCTTGCCCGTCTAATCGAAGTATTAATCAATTTGTTATCGCTTTCCTTTCGGTAGTATTTTCTTCATTTGTTATGTAGTTATTTTGATTTTATTAGATTTTTTTATTTTATTTTGATTTGGTATCGTGCGAAAATATTACAAAAGCATATTGTAAATAGTTGCATACGTTTTTATACTTGGTAAACAAATTTGTTTTTATATTTGTCATTTCTTCAATTGTTTTTCGGTTTCGTTTTTTTTTTCGTGATTTCTTTTAGAACAACAACAAAATATATGTTTTTTTTTTTGTACGTAATTAATAAAAAGATCAATTCTGAAAACAAATATATATTTTGCATTTATTGATTGAGTCGCTTGATCTTGCTTAATGATTTAAGAATTCTTGCCTATTTGAAAGTGTTTTTATTTTTAATTTTTTTGTTCGTTTAGATTTGAATTTGAATTTTGATATTGATTCGATAATGCCAATTATTGGAGCCATTACAATCGATAGGTTTCGTGGAAAAATCATTCTGCATCTTTTGGCAATAAAATGACAAAAGAATTATTCTTGTATGCTAAATAGATCACAGTTCACTAATGTTTTGTTAATTGGTATCCTGATCATTTCAGTTGGGATTTTGCTTTCGGTTTCGTTTTCGGATATATATTTTCTGAATTTCTGATTTGTGATTTCTGAATTCTGATTTTCGGATTTCTATGGTTTGCTCTTTGGTGTGTTTTGGTTAAATGTTATATATTACTTTTTGATTATGTAAGAACAGTAAGAAAAAGGAGTTCAAAAATCAGCGTTCCGTTCAAAATGCTAAATTTAAATTTAACGCAGAACAAACATTGTGTGGCTGTGGCTGTGTGTGTGTGCGTGTGTGTTGGTGTGTGTAAAGTCATTAAAGTAAATCTAAATAAAAAAGCGAGTGTCGAAAGTGTAAGGGAATAATTTATTTATATATATAAAGTGATTAAAGGAAACTAGGGGAGTTACTAGGGGTAGGAAAGTTGGTGAGCTACAGGGGCGAAATGTTAAACAAACGATTACACGAACAACATTAAGACACAAAAACACACATTTATATATACTTTTATGCTCCAAGTAAAACAAAGATTAATTTAAATTTAGAAAATGATGCCAACTGGCAAGAGGAAGAGTACAAAGAGTGGCAAAGCAGGATAGACTGAGAGAAAGCTAGAGCGAGAGTGGGAGAGAGAGAGACAGCGCAGGTGAGCAGAGCACTTAAAATAATGCCAAGAACTTTGGCTCACCCACACACACACTCACACACAAACAAAAAAACGCACACACAAACACATGGAAATGGCGGACCGAAATAACAACATTTTGGTTACAAGGTTACGTATACGTCACGTGTGTTTGTGTGTCTTTGAACAGGGACTACAATAGCGGTAACTGAGCAAAAGAGAGAGAGAGAGAGAGAGAGTCAGAGCCAGAGAGAGAGAGAGAGAAGAGGAGACCGGGAGGGGTATGGCTAGAGAGGGGCCGATAGAGAAAGAGAGAGAGAGAGAGAGAGAGAGCTAGAACAAAGCCAAAAAGAACACAAGTAAGAGGCGAAATCAAAAGCCGAGAAATATCCAAGTGTATGTGTGTGTGTGTGTGTTGGAAGTGTGTTAAGTGCCAAATACATGTAGCAGAGTGTATATTTTCTGGCTTTTCACTCACTTTGCTGCTATTTTTGGTTTTGTTGCGTGCCCAGCACAAATCATAAAATTAAAAAACAAACACATTAAACCTAATATGTATTGCAAAATGAAAACAAAGCTGAAGGGAAAACAATTTCAAATTTTATGACTTTACGAGTGGTAGGGAGAGCAAGAAAAGGAGGAAGAAAGTGAGGGAGAGCGAGACTGTACCCCTCCTAAAAAACGACATTGACATGTGAGCACATCAAAAACTAAAAAAATAAGGCAGAAAAGCCATAGATTTAGCCAGATTTCAATTCCCTGACTATGATATACCTTTGTATAAGTTAACATTTATGCCATAACTGATTCGAAGTTGCATTGTCCTTTTTTATCATTTGTCTTTATGTTGCATACTTAGTGGGGCTTCTCCAAACACCTTTTAGGTTCAATTTCCCTTTTCATAACTAATGCTTTAATCCTTTCTTTATGCATCCTTTTTGGGTTACATGCATTGGCACGTACTAAATACACCCTTGAACTCTGTGCAAGACAAAAATTAAAGAGGATGCGGGCAAAGTCCCCGCTTTTCAATGAGGGAAGGGGATTCCCATTCCCCTGCGCTAATCATGACAAATCATCACGTTCACGTTTCGTTTCGTTTGTACTTCTTCCTTTCAGTTTTTTGTTGTTTCTGTTGTTGTATTTTGTTGTTGCTAGCAAGGCCAGACAGAGAGTCCTTTTCCCCATTGTATCCTGTCTGTCGCCCCCCAAACCCCAATCCCCATTCTTAACCCATTGTCAGTTGCTGTCCCGTGCTTTTCCCGCACGCACGTGCCCGATGGAAGCATATTTCAAGTGACATTTATGAAGTGCATCCC